CACTGATTCACGACCACCAAGTGCTTTTCATCTTGGCGCAAATAATTTTGATCCCCATGAGGGCATTTTGAATTTCTCGAGCAAACTAATTCCTAATCAGGTTTGTAAATATTTTGTATCTTTGATAATATTTTCAGCCCGAAGGAAGGCGCAATCCTGTGCCTTCATCCCTGGCTTTATTGGTGAAGCCTTCTCCTGACTCCAAAAAAATAAAGCCTTATTTCAGCAAATGTGAATCAAAGCAGAACTGTAAATCATATTATTTGCTATTAGCTCGCTTACGCTCTTTATGTGACAAACTTTACTTGTGTTTTTAAAAAACTAGCATCTAATAGACTGATGTATTTATATTAATATATTTTAGTCCGGAATTGGCCAAAAGGAAATTCGTTTGAAGAAAAAATTTTTATTATACCTTCCATAGAACCAAAAGACCCCATCAAAGTTGATCTGGATTTTAAAATTACTGGGAGAAAGTGCACTAGCTCTACAGAAACAGAGCTTGCGAGTGCTTGTGACAAAAAGTAAGCTTTATTGAAATATTTTACACTTGATTGTAAAATTTTGTTGCTTATCTTTTTTTATTTCAGAAGTATTGACTTCTGCAACCAAAACGTTTCTGACTACAAAGAACAGGTATATAGTATTGAATGTGAAAAAAAGAGTAATATTCAGATTTCAAGGCAAAAAAGCAGATCTAAATGCAATTTGGTTAGCAGCATTTCACATCAAAGCGAACTACCTTCAAAATATACCCTTCCAAAGGGTGATCCTGCATTTTCCAAACTACAAAAAGCTACCAGGATTCTTGGTTCAAACTTAGAAGCAAAAGTCAATAAAAAAGATGAGCGCTCTGCCGCAGTAAGATCTGCAGGTCCAAATTTAACTTCTGAGAGGAGAGAATGCTATTACGCAAACCCACACGGAATGATTATGGATAAGGTATTACTAAAATTTGACTATTTCAACTCATCAATATAGTTTTTCCTTATTGTTTAAATTATTTCATAGTTCCTAGACTTCTTTATACTTTTTTTACACTTGCATTCTACATTTCTTTTTGTTAGCCAAAATCGAGTGGGCCTTGCCCACAACCATATGTGAGCAGAAGAAAGCCTTATGGTACTCCCACCGCTTTACTTGATGAGGTTACTGACACAAATAGCTCACGCTCAGATCTTGACTCTGGTGTTTCATCTTCTGTAGAAATAGACCATCTGATTGCTAAGCTAGCTGCTGTATTGCCATCACCACCAATCAGCTCTCCAGGAGCTAAAAATAATTCGATTCCTAAAGCTTGTTCTCCATACCAAGTAGGAGAGGGCGATTACTCTGATGTGCGTAAGCAGATTTCAGCTGAGAAAATCCCAATAATTGGTGGCATTACATCTGGCGAGGCAAGCGCTGGTATGGAGGATGAAG